TTTAACTCCAGGCTGGTCACACACAGCAAGCGGGTTTCTTTAAACGGAGAGATGTTTGAGTCCATCCAGAGCCTGCTGTTGGTGTCACGCTGTGATGAGACGCATGATTCAAATCATACGCATCAAATCACACAGCTGAGGTTGTGTTTATTCAGTCATTTGTTACCAGGCAACAGGAATACTGGATTACAGATTTTTTTAAAAACATGTAGTTAAAGATTACTGACGTCCTAAGTGTCCACAGACTGATGAGGAACTGTGCTCTGAGGTGAGATGTAACCTTCTGTAACTGGTAATTAAAGTGTGTGTGTGTGTGTGTGTGTGAGCAGGTAGTTTGGCTTTAATTTCTCTGGTTAACAAACAGCTGGCAGACACATTTAGCCCAGTAGCCTCATTTATTCAGCGTCTGATGGCGCTGTGGAATTAAAAGGCTTTCGTCAGCTCTAAATTTAAACTTTTACAGAGCTGCTGTAAAATAAGCAAGGCCCCGCTTGTATATTTTTCTTCAGAGCGTCAACATCAGGGCCGGCCTGCAGTCCCACATTTTAAGAGCAAACACGGAGAGCTTGAGCGGCGTGAATGAATGAAAGCAGCTGATTGGAGAAGCAGAGAAAAGCTCAGACACAGTTCTGGTGTTTTACGTGGCTCGCATGTCTGTGGACATGGAAACGACTGAAACGTGTTAGCGACGGTGCGTGCTGCTGAGGGGCGTGTGAGGAGCTGGTGTTTGACTCTGAAGCAAGTTTCTGTTTGAGCCGCTGAGCTGCGAGTCCTCATTGTGGCCTGTGAGCTTGTACATGTGGCTCACCTTTGATAATTACGCAGGAATATTTGAATATCTGAGGGAAGTAGAACAGAGCCGCGAACTGTGTGGTCAAAACTACCTGTTATTTTTAGGTTGGCACTCGCATTAAGATCAGAGCAACACTCTGCTCAGCTGGACGACTGTGCACATGCTCATAGCTGTATTTGGTCTTAATGTCCTTGGATGGGTAAGAAAAAAACTAAATGTGTCCCCCTGAAACTAAAGACTTAAAAACCAGCTGTTTATACTGGAGCTCAGCTTATTAATGGTTTGAGTTCAGAGACGATTTGACTTTCTGTAAAAAGTGTCAGATGATTATCACCTCAGGAAACATCTTCATCAGCTGATTAAAGCACTTTTGGACCCTCAAATAATGATTTCAGTTGTTTGTTCTGCTCTTGAATCAGAGCGTTAAACCCACCTGGTTACAGCTGAAAGAACGAGGCTGAAATTCCCACAGGAACAGGCTGAGCTGTGAGCTTTGGAGCAAGAGGAGAAAATGAGCTGGAAAGCTTTTTATTTATTTTTTGCTTTGAAAAGAGAGGAAGTATGATGAGCCCTAAACTTGTTAAATTAAAAACGCATGCAGCAGCACTGTGGCACGGTGTTAGCACCGTTTCCTCACAGCAAGAAGGTCGAGTCCACCATCAGGCCGGATACACTAAACAACAGTAATGCGGTGTTTTAACATCCAGGATGTTCAGGGGAAAAGGAGAAAATAATTTTTATAATCAAATTGTAACAGAAATGTGCTTTTCTCTCCTCTCATTGGCTGCTGAGGTAAAGAGGGAGGTTTGATGGAGCAGGTCCTGTTTTCGAGGGTCACACTGCTGGAGCTCAGTTTGGGGAACAGAATAATTCCTCCTTTTCATGGCTGTGCAAACGGCTTTAGGCAGGGCTGACGACGAGGTCTGTAAGAAGGGAAGTCCAGCAGCCTCGCTGCTAACTGTCATGTGACCCCTCAGCTGTTAGCTGCAGCAGACGCCCGGGCTCTTCTCGCCGTCCTGCTGCCCGACCCCGTCAGTTGTCAGCTGATGAGGTCATCGCTCAGCTGTTCGGAGCGTCCGTGCCACAGAGCCGTCACATGTGACACGGCCGGTTGGCGCTCGTGCCACAGGGGGACTCCTCCAAACCAGACAGCACAAGACCGTGACTGTGCTCTCAGAATATTTATACCAGGGAAAACAGGACGTGACTCTCAGCGCAGCAGAAAACAGCCGGGGCTTTGTCTGCAGACGGAGCTGTCGGACGCTCGATTCAC